CAGAGAGCTGGTGGACCGTTCTGTGTCATGGTGTGGGAACAATCATCTCATCTTAATTGTGAACAGAAGAAAGGAGATGATTGTTAATTTCAGGAGGAAAAGGGTTTGATTGGATCCTGTGTTCATCATCAGAGAAGAAGTGAAAGTGGTTGAGGAATATATATACCTCCGTGTTCATCTGGACAAGAGACTGGACTGGAGAATCAACAGTCCACTCTGTCCCGTGTTCAAGAAGGGACAGAGCAGACTGGAGATTTTAATTATTTATGCATGTTGTATTGCAATTGCGGCTGCCAATGTTAACGTATGCAATTAATCAGAAAATGTTATTGCGGTAATATAACATAAACATTAATCAAACTACTACTTTGCTCTGAAAGCCTCTGTGGCAGAAGGTTACCCACTTCAAAGCAGCACGTTATGGACTCGACACACTGGGAGTAACATTTTCTGTGACAAAAGCTGAAATTTCTTCAACTTTCTTGTGTTTTGTCTCTGGCCCTCAAGTTCACATCTACGTGTACAAGCTCAAAATTTCACATGCATAAATTACGCCAGTCGCTTGGCTGGATGAAAACAAGAGACTGCTGCCTCATCACACAAATTCCATTTCTGACTTCCTTACAGCTTTCCTGAATATCGACATCTGGAAAACTGAGAATAAAATGGTTTGAAACGTTAATCAATTTTTTGGAAACACGCACACACTGACAGTTTTTGATATATGCTACTTAGGCAGTTGCCCAGGGAAGCATCACTAAGGTGGGCACCCAAGAACTAGAAAATTAGTTATATCATATGTCAGTTGTGTCCTGAACAAGTTTACTACTACTTGTATGCAGTTTCCTGAATACAAGAAAATTACACAGACAGACAGACAGACAGAATGAATGAATGAATGAATGAATGAATGAATGAATGAATGAATGAATGAATGAATGAATGAATGAATGAATGAATGAATGCTTGCATTTTAGATGGTTGGCCTGGAGCAGAGGGGGCTAACTCACGGAACCATTCCTGCAAGGACCACAACTGTGGGAGTGTGATTTTTATATTTTTTCATTGATTGATACTACAAAATCAGAAAATATTTCCAAGTATTTTAGGCAAAACTGTCTTGTTAAAAGTGAAATAATTTGCAGATGGAACTAGTACTTCTTTCCCAACTTTAATATTTATTTAAATCAAGCTCCTATATCTTGCTGAAAAGTTACTTGTAAGCTTGTTTTGTCTTATTTCAAGTGTATTAAGATATAAGAACTACAAATAGGACAAAAATACTTTGTAAGATTTTGTGTTTATGCAGTCTCTTTGCAACTATTAAACCTCTAGCACATAAATCATCTAGAATATTTAGATCCTAATATTTAGAGTTAGGATCAACCAGCAGTTCCAACATCCCTATTCTCATAGGGGACAGTTGCAGAAACAGATTGATTCTATAGAAAATTGCAATTCCACTTTTGAGAGTACACTCTAAAAAGTGCACTCTAAAAATACATTTTTGAGAACACTTTAGAAAGTGTATTTGGGCAGTAGTTCATCTTATGGACTTATTTATATTAATCTCACTTAATTCTTTTGCTATAGTTACGACAACTTTCTTTCATAATGTTCAATTAGCTACAAATCACAAATCTTTAACTTAAGGGAACTTTTTACTTTGACTTTTCTATTTTATTTTTTAGAATAAGCATGCTGCTAACACCGACTTTAATTTTATCTACTTGTGACTGAAGTAGAAATGAATTTTTGATTTTTCAAAATATCTTCAGCTGAAAGAAACTGATTTGCGTGAAACCAGTTAGCAATTTTAAACTAAATTATGGTCAACTGCGTTCTCTCAATCTCAACATAACTTTATAGATAGATAGTTGTTAATATACTGTTTGAAACAGACACTGAACTATTTCTATTTGAAATGAGGGTATTAACATAGTTAAGGAGTGGAATTTAACTCTGGCATGCCTTCAGGTAAACACTTCAGAGCTCTGGAAATAAAAACAATCTGCTTGACTTAATTACATTCCCTGCAAGTCTAAGCAAGACCAATGTCTGTGTGCAGAGAACATAAAATCCCTTCTATGTATTCACACTGTTTGTATATGTTGCATTACTATCAGACTTTAAATGTTACAATTCACATCTCCTGAATATAAAATGTACATACCTTCATAGTGTTAATTCAAAAGGATTCATGTAGTTCTGTACAGTGAACCCTCGCAATAACACAGTTCGCTTTTCACGGCCTTGCTGCGTCGGTCGCAGATTTTTTTGTGCAGTTTTTTTCACAGTGCATTGTGTTCTGCATCCTGATTGGCTAAACAGTCTCTGCGCTTCTTCTCCAAACACCGTAATGTGCCAGCAACGTTACGGTATTTAAATATACGTGATACAGCTTGGCAAATTTTGGCAAATATTTTTGCCCAGAAGAAAAAAGAGCAACAACAACTACCGATAACAATGTTCTTCTCTCAAAGAAACAAACCTGCACCACAGGCTTCAGAAGAAAAAGACTGCAGAGCAATATGAAGTCCTACTGCACTTCATATTGATGATTAAAAATATTGTTTTACTGTAGTTACTTGTAAGAAAGCTTTTTATTTGCTACAAAAAATGCTTGGGCCTGAAAACAGGCTTTGTTCTTTGGTTTCAATGTAGAGTATTTAATTATGCTGTTTAATTAATTGAAAAAAAAAGTTAACTACTTCATGGAATTTGCCTATCACAGGCTGTTTTTGGAACACAACTCCCGCAAAAAGCAGGGGTTCACTGCAGTCACCCCCTTATTAAATACTGTTGATTTAGATTTTTTTCTGTAATTTTTTTTTTTTTCCGTGAAACTGACTTTCTTTTGAAAACTGTTTATATTTACTCACCAATGCCCTTTGACTTGGGGGCAATCTTCTCAATATCTTTAAGCTGAAACACATCCTTCTAAAAGAGCAAAAAGAGATGTTTAGGGCAACAGCAACCATGCACACACACACACTCAGACCTACAGACAATTTAGAGAAACCAAATAACCTGACAGTCATGTTTTTGGTCTGTGGAGGAAGCCGGAGCACCCAGAGAGAACCCACGCATACACAGGGAGAACATGCAAACTGCATGCAGAAAGACCTAGGGCCAGGAATCAAACCCAGGACCTTCTTGCTACAGTGCTACCACTGTGCAGCCCAATATTTTATATATTCACATAATTTGAAATTCAGCCAATTGGTTATTCATCTCAAAATGAGTAGAATGGAGCTCATTGAAGTGAGTGAAGTGATTGTAGTTTAAGACACATTCACTGGTTCATTAGTATGACATTATAGCATGAGGGCTAAAGAACACTCCTTGAAAAGGCTAGTGAAAAGTATCAGACACAAAAATAACCTCTAATGCAATAAACATCCCCAGAATTTAGGTAAATCTATCATCAAGAAAAGAATGAATATGTTTGATGTGTAAATCTCCTATGTGTAAATTATTTATACTTGTCCTTATTTTTGTAGAAATCAGTGTTCACTTGAGGGATTTGTTTTGGAAATGTTTTTAGCAAAAATGTTGATCATGAGTGATTTGTAAAACAATAAAAGAATAAAACATCCAAGGAACTGAATACATGTTTGGAGACACTGTGCATGAAAAAACAAGACAGAGTCAACAAATTGAACTAAAGTCTCGTTTTACCTCAGTGTGTAACTGCTGGAAGTTGGACTGGAACAATAGAATTTTTTCATGCCATGAAAAAGTCATTTATTTCACCAGTGACTGAGAAACTTACTGATTCAAAGAAAATCTCCATCATCCGAGTTCTCTTCTCTTCCAAACTGAGTCCTTTCTTTTTTGACTGCAATAGATCCAAATGATAATCGCAAAACATCAGAAACCAATAAATCACCAACAAATTGATTCCCGTGTAATTAATCTACAATTGAAATAATCACCCAAATACGTTCATCTGAACTATAAGCATGCTTGATTTTAATTTGGTGGATTGGTACGTTTTAGAGGTAAATTAAGTTGTTTTGTATCGTCTGTTCCGTCTTAGAATGATTTGCAGTCATTTTAGGTTTTCTGTTAGCCATAACTGTTACTAGTACTCGAAATAAACTATAAAGATTTAGCTTAATGTAATTTTTCCCCTTGTGGCGAATTTGCTTCTCTCAGTGTGGATAGCGACGTGCAATGTGGCGTCTACTCTTTCTTTTTAACTTAGATTTAGCCGCATAGAATAGATAACCCTCAGTCAATGTCACCGTTAGATTTGTGAAAGATATCTCCTGGGTTTTTTTAGTTGGTAAACAGCAGGCAGTCGGTGGCGTTTCATTATAAACTAGCTTGAAAAAGAACGCGTTGCTGGCTTGGTACACGAATGCCTCAACCACTGATCATCAATTCCGAACTAAGAAAAGATTTACTGACCATTTTCAGGCGGGACTGCACCAATTACACCGGTAACAACGTTTTGGGTAGTTTAACCGCAAAATACTACTTTCAATATCTGTAATCCAAACTACAAGAACATCGCTTGGGTGCCACTGAATTTCCCGCGATACAGTGTCAGGGGTGAGTGCTGCATTCAGGTCTACTCGTATATTCGCACATTTCCATTTAACGCAGATGTGTTGCAAGAAAACTGGTCATTTTTGTTAAAATGAAATGATGAGAATCATAAATGAAACTGAAAGTAACTCTTTTAACTGGAGAAAAGTGGTAGTATACGTCCGGATGATCTACATAAAGTTTTTTCCCCAATCGTCCTTGAAGGCATCAGCTTGATCATCTATTCTAGTGCTGCCCTCTTCTGCACTAAAGTAGCAACATCGCAATATAAAAATATTTTTTTCTTTAAAGTACATTTTCTTTCTAATCACACGAGTTCTCTCCAAACATTTTCTTCCCGTTGGCACTTTAATTCAATTTGGAATTACAAATATAGACAAAAATAAACAAAAAAACTTTACAGTCTTGTGTAGAAATTGAATGACTGACCTCAGGAAGACAAATACAATTGTGTGTTTCAAGATTGTTTATGGTAAAAGCCTTAAAACAAATGTGGATCATCATCATGTTTATATACATATCACATCTTCTAGATCTGCAAAATAACCACCAACCTGCAACCAGCACTCGCAGAGATACTGAAAAGACATGAGAGCATTTCAGGATAAGTGAATATTTCAGCCAGATGGCCAAGTATTCAAACAGGATTTCTGGATCCCAGGCACATCATGTACACATGTATGCACAGCTGATGCCTATGGAGATCTAAACACTATCACAAACAAATAGTTAAAAAAAACATGACTATTTAGATGTGTCAGTTTATTTTGAAGCAATCCATGGATTATTATGAAATATGATGCTAATATATTTGTTTTAAAAAATAACACACTTGTTGCCTGACTGTTTAAATTATTTTATGGTTCATTGCTGCACTAATGAGGGCCAAATGGTCGATAAATAAGTTGTGGAAAATTGATAAGTGATTATAATAAAAATACTATTGTCTCTATCCTGTGGTAGAATATTGTAAAATATCACTTGTGGTATGAGCCAAAGTGACAGTAGGCTAATATTTTCCAATGGACTTTAATTTTATCACAATTCAAGTTTTACTTTTAAAATGTACACTTTTTTTTACTTGTAAGATTAATAATAGATTACACTTGTATAATCAATACATTTTGAAATATAGAATTAATTTATTACAGTTGGCTTGTGGCATTTTTGACTCTCCTACAATAAGCAGAGTACAAATTAATTAAATAAATATCAAAATAATTTTAATGGATCTTAAAATATAACACTTTAAAATGAAAGAAATTTTACAATTAAATCATGATGTTTTAAATTTATACTGACACAAATATTCTGGGATACATTTATTTATTATCTGTATATTCAATTTAATTTTAATTATATAATTTAAGTATTTATTCGTGTCACTCATTGCGATCCACTCTGGTCAATATCAGGTGGCCTATGTCTGTGATATAAATGCTTGCATTTCGTTTTGTGGTCATGCTTCTATCATCCTACATCATTTTTTTTTTTATTCTTATAGTGAACAGGCAAATTGTCAGGCATCTTAAGAGCATTTTAACAGAAAAGTGGAGTATATTCTGTTTATTTCTGAGGTACCTAAACTGTAGAAATCAGTTTCTTTTTCTCACGTAACAAGCAAGTCATTTTCAAAACCAGTGTAACAGTTTGTTTCCAGTTTCCTAAAATTTGTTGACAAGTTCTGGGTGTATCACTATTAAAGCTTCATGTTAGCGCACTCTAAATGTCTTGTGAAAGTCGTGATCAACCTTTTCAAAACACTAACCAGCAGCAACTACCTGTGATGAGTTATTGCTTCAGAATCAAGAAAAAAGCCTAACAGATGGCACAGTGGAAATAATGAATGGATGAGTTGATGAGTGCAGAGTTCCAGTCTTTCCAGTCTGCCATTTCCTGGTAGTAAGCAAGTGTAGAAAGGTGAGCTACTGCAGATAGCGGTAGACTTTGAAGCAGTGGTTGCCAGAATCTGCAACCACCACATGTCCGTCAGAGGTGAGGGCCAGTCCCTGTGGGCCGTAGAGCGGGTCTGCCGACGTGTTGATGTAGGAGAGGAAGGAACCGCTGGCATCAAACACCTGCGAAAGAAACACAGCATCAGCAGCTCTCCAGTCACAACTTACATCATGTTTAGAACCATTTTGTTGGTTGACTTTTTTGTTTTAGAAATAAGCAAACAATCTGCTGATCCAACCCTGCTTTTTTTGTTTCAGTGAGAATGACATTACCCTACAGATGCATTCAAACTGAGGAAAACAAGTATTTACATTTGAGTGAAGTTTTCACATTCTTTTATTTTTATTTTCTGTGAGTGTTATGTAACCCGGTATTAAAAACGCAAGTAAAAATTTAATGACTTTTTTTTTCACATTAAAAAATATAAATAGATTTTGTGTTTTGTTTTACTCATAAATATATATGAAAAAGTACTAAACAAATCTTTAAAAACTATGAAGTAGGCCTTTAGTGATTGTTTTGCTGATGGATTGGGCAACCAATGGCTGGCGTGGTCTGATATTGCGTCAGCCAATGGGGTTGATTGTCCCGCCCCTTTCTCTACTGCGCTGTGATTCTGCTCAGAGGCGGTTGAGAACTCGCAGCTACCGTTGTTTCCGTTAGGCTGCAGTTCGATGATCGACTTTGTCGTTGTTTCATCAAATCTGTGGCCACATGTCTTAGACATTTGGGTGAAGAGAGGTGCTAATCTGTCCACTGACCACCACCTGGTGGTGAGTTGGCTCTGGTGGTGAGGGAGAATGCCAGTCAGACCTGGCAGGGCCATTCATGTGAGGGTCTGCTGCGAATGTCTGGCAGAGTCTCCTATGAGACAGAGCTTTAACTCCCATCTCCAGCAGAACTTTGAACACGTTCCCAGTTAGGTAGGGGACATTGAGTCTGAGTGGACCATACGCCATTGTCAATGCAGCTTATAGGAGCTGTTTGTCGGTCCCTGTAGTGACGGCAACCCTCAAACCCATTGGTGGACATCTTCGGTGAGGAATGCTTTCAGGCTGAAGAAGGAGTCCTGTTGGGCCTTTTTGGCCTGTGGGACTCCAGAAGCAGCTGATGGATACCAGCAAGCAAAGCAGTATGCAGCTCGGGCTGTTGCTGAGGCAAAAACTCGGGCAAGGGAGGAGTTTGGAGAGGACATGGGGAATGACTTCTGTAAGGCTTAGAAGTGATTCTCTACACCCTCAGCAGGGTCCTGCAGGTAAGTGGGAGTTCGCCAAATTGGTCTACATGTATTTTGTGGACTTGGAGAAGGCGTTTGACCGTGTCCCTCCGGGAGCCTTGTGGGGGGTTCTCCGGATATATGGGGTATGTCCTTTTGATACGGGCTGTCAGGTTCCTGTGTGACCAGTGTCAGTGTCTGGTCCGCATCACCGTCAGTAAGTCGGGCTCATTTCAAGTGAGAGTTGCACTCCACCAGGGCTGCCCTTTGTCACTGATTGTGTTCATCACTTGCATAGACAGTAAGGTGTTGAGAGGATCCGTTTTGGTCGCCTCTCTACTTTTTGCAGACGATGTGGTCCTGTTGGCTTCATCAGGTCGTCATTTGCAGCTTTCACTGGAGCGGTTCACAGCCGAGTGTGAAGCGGCCGGGATGAGGATCAATGCCTCCAAATCCGAGGCCATAGTCTTGAGCCGGAAAAGGGTAGAGTGTGTCTGGGGCAGAGGGTGGCGGGTGTTCTGGAACCAGTCTCTAACCCTGCCCAAGTGGAGGAGTTCAAGTATCTCTGGATCTTCTTCATGAATGAGGGAAGAAGGGAGCGGGAGATTTGACAGGTGGATTGGTGCAGCCTCTGCCATGAAGCGGGCGCTGTACCGGTCTGTCATAGTGAAGAGAGAACTGAGTCAAAAAGTGAAGCTCTCAAATTATCGGTCGATCTACGTTACCACACTCATCTATGGTCATGAGCTTTGGGTCAAGCCGAAAGAATGAAATCACGGATACAAGCGGCTGCAATGGGTTTTCTCCGAACGGTGTCTGGGCTCGGTTTTCCGGGAGGGATTCAGAGTAGAGCCGCTGCTCCTTCACATTGAGAGGAGCCAGTTGAGATTTAGGCATCTGGTCAGGATGCCTCCTGGATGCCTCCCTGGTGAGGTGTTCCAGGCACGTCCCACTGGGAGGAGGCCCCGGGGAAGACCCAGGACACATTGAAGGGACTATGTTTCTCGGTTGGCCTGGGAACGCCTGGGGGTTCCTCTGGAAGAGCTGGAAGAAGTGTTGCTGGGGGGAGAGAAGTCTGGGCCTGTCTTCTTAAGCTGCTTACCTTGCGACCCGATCCTGGATGGATGGATGGATGGATGGATGGATGGATGGATGGATGGATGGATGGATGGATGGATGGATGGATGGATGGATGGATGGATGGATGGATGGATGGATGGATGGATGGATGGATGGATGGATGGATGGATGGATGGATGGATGGATGGATGGATGGATGGATGGATGGATGGATGGATGGATGGATGGATGGATGGATGGATGGATGGATGGATGGATGATGGATGGATGGATGGATGGATGGATGGATGGATGGATGGATGGATGGATGGATGGATGGATGGATGGATGGATGGATGGATGGATGGATGGATGGATGGATGGATGGATGGATGGATGGATGGATGGATGGATGGATGGATGGATGATGGATGGATGGATGGATGGATGGATGGATGGATGATGGATGGATGGATGGATGGATGGATGGATGGATGGATGGATGGATGGATGGATGGATGGATGGATGGATGGATGGATGGATGGATGGATGGATGGGATGGATGGATGGATGGATGGATGGATGGATGGATGGATGGATGGATGGATGGATGGATGGATGGATGGATGGATGGATGGATGGATGGATGGATGGATGGATGGATGGATGGATGGATGGATGGATGGATGGATGGATGGATGGATGGATGGATGGATGGATGGATGGATGGATGGATGGATGGATGGATGGATGGATGGATGGATGGATGGATGGATGGATGGATGGATGGATGGATGGATGGATGGATGGATGGATGGATGGATGGATGGATGGATGGATGGATGGATGGATGGATGGATGGATGGATGGATGGATGGATGATGGATGGATGGATGGATGGATGGATGGATGGATGGATGGATGGATGGATGGATGGATGGATGGATGGATGGATGGATGGATGGATGGATGGATGGATGGATGGATGGATGGATGGATGGATGGATGGATGGATGGATGGATGGATGGATGGATGGATGGATGGATGGATGGATGGATGGATGGATGGATGGATGGATGGATGGATGGATGGATGGATGGATGGATGGATGGATGGATGGATGGATGGATGGATGGATGGATGGATGGATGGATGGCACAAAACAGCATCAGTAAGGAAAGTATTGCATTCATCTATTTTTATATTATTTTACCTTTGTTTCTAACATTTATTGCATAAATATGCTTAATCTTTCTATCTTATTTTGTTTCAATTTCCTAATATGGGAAAGACAAAGGAACACACCACTGAGAAAAAGCTACTGTCTAACCCTACTCGTATTTACAGCGAAAGATGTATGGGAAACTGTGGCAAACATGGCCGAATGAGGACTCCTACTCATGCCGCCACTATGCACAGTGAGGAGAATGATAGTAGAGGTATGAAAATGTTTAAAGGGCACTGCCAAATCTCCAGAGCAACAATATACCTGCAACCTGTTGTTTGGAACTGATGTCCAAACAAAGCCCCTTTCTGTTGTACTATGGCATGGAAAAAAAGGTCAAGGGAAAGACAAGTGGTCATGTCATTCCTTCTGGTGGAGTGTGTGTTGACAAAAGTCAGGCTTTGGCTGCAAGACAATAGCTACTCATCTCAACTTGTTGATATACACAGCAAGAGGAATAATTAAAAATGCCTAAAAGACAATTGGATGTGTGGCAAACAGATCTGAATGAGAAAAAATATAAATTTTTAGCAAGACTTATTGCAGCGGGGCAGTGTTGAGAGAGCTGTAAATAAGAAATTAAAATTCATTGTCCATTGTTTAAGAAGTTAAATGGTTTGCTGACCTGTATCCTGCTGTTGCCCCAGTCTGCTACAATGATATTCCCATTGACGTCCACCGCCACGCCAGTGGGGGCATTGAACTGGCCATTACCTTCGCCGTTAGAACCAAACTTCAGCAGGAACTCCCCTTCTGTGTTAAAGACCTTCATTTAACAAGAAACAGAATAAACATGGTCCCTGACGTAACAAGTGTCATTAACTCATCTCATTAATCATGTGGCTTAATTCAGCACTGAAGAGGTTTTTGCAGATAAAAATGAGAAACATCTCTAAAACCCCTGAAAAGTGAAAAACTTTGTTTTCCCCTTTACAGAGGCAGTATTGTGTGTTTTCCATGCACATAATGCTGTTTTTTGTACAAAATACTCACTTTGACTGAGTGGTTGTGAAAATCAGTCACAATGATTTCGTTATTATTGTTGACAGCAGCAAAATGAGGGCCTGGAATACATCAAATGAAACCAAACACATTTCAGAAATGTGTCAAATTCAAAAATGAAACCAATGAAATTTTCTTTAAAACAATCCTGCAAAACCGAAAGGAGTTATAAAGGAAATGCATGTTATAAAAATATGAAGTGTGGATAGTAACATTTTGACTGCAACTGGGTAATAATGTCAGCTTAAAAAAAGTCACATTTGACTGATGTGTCCAGATGATCAGTTTGAAAGTATGAGGGGCCATTTAGGATAAAAACAATGTTTTGTCTCACACACTACTAAAGAGTTATACACACACAAAATATAAAAATTGTGCATATACATTACTAAAATGTCACACAGGCACATACACACAAAGCATACAGACATACTATTCTGAATGATAGGTCAAAAATGTATGTGTGTGTGAACTAACAGAAAGCTCTATGAATGAATGAGACTTGTATTTGTCTGTTTGAGAGTCTTGCATTTTTTGTTTGTGCGAGAGTTGTAATGGAAGAGGCGGGGCATAATTTGGAGATGAGATTCCGCATGCTTTGATACCATGGTGAAGTTAGCTTCAAGTTGGATATTGGATATTGGTGCCCCACAATGTAAGCAGCATTTCCAAATATTTGGAACAAACTTCAAGAAAACTGTAAAACAGCAGAAACCCTGACTTCTTTTAAATTGCAATTAAAAACACACCTGTTTAGAATTGTTTTTGAAATGTAATATGTAACAATGTATTGTCTATTATATGTTGTATGACTTTGTGTTCTTGTGTTTATGATGTAAGGCACTTTGAAATGCCTTGTTGCTGAAATGTGCTATACAAATAAAATTTGATTGATTGATTGATTGATTTAGCTCAAGGTTAATCCGATTTCTGAATGCTAATTTCCCTTTACTTAGGGCTCTAACGCCGCTTACTCCCACCTATTTTTGACCTATCTTTCAGAATAGTATGTCTGTATGCGTTGTGGGTGATATTTTAGTAATGCATATGTGCAATTTTAGTCTTGTGTGTGCAACAGAGAAAATAAAATACATATGCATGCCATATTTTATTAGTCTTTTATGTTTGGGTGTGAGAAAAAAAATTGCGTGTAATATTTCAATAGTGAATATATGCAATTTTCCTATTTTGTGTGTGTGATATTTTATAAGTATATATGCGCAATTTTAATATTTTGTGTGTGTGTATGATTCTTTAGTAGTGTGTGAGAGACAAAACAGTTTTTGTCCTAAACAGCCCCTCAAATGAAACAGCAAGTGGATGACTTCTGAATATTTTGGCACGCATGCAGCTTTCCACATGCGTCTCAAAGTTTTATTTTTGGGAATACCTGCAAACTGCCTGTCGCCGTTGCCACGGTTACCAAACTTGTTGACCAGCTTGCCATTGGCCTGGAAGATGAAAATGCAGCAGGCCTTATTGTCGACCACAATGACGTGTCCATTCCTGTCCACTGCAACACCTTTGGGTCCCATGAGCTTCCCTGAGCCTACTTTGTTCTACAGAAAGGAGACAGTTCAGGATTCTGCTATGAAAAAATTGAGAAAGCTTCACTTCCATCATGAGCTGAAATTGATCATTTCTAAATACTGCAGAGAACCAGTATTTTTATTGTCAGATAAATGTACAAAAAATTGAAAAGATTCCAGAATTAAAAACATTATGTTTTAGTGCTTAGTGATGTTAACAGCATATCTATCTGCAGATCTCAACCATGCGGACGGTCATAGAAGTGATGGTTAAAGTGTTGTATCTGACTGATACCTGAACAAAGAAATTGAAAAAACTTACCTTAAACTTGCCTTCATTTGAAAAGATGCTGACCCATTTGTTGTCATAGTCTGCAATGATGATGTCACCACTGGGGTGGATGGCCACACCCGTCGGCCGCTGCATCTGACCTGGCGACCTGCCACGGACACCGAAACGACTTCTGAACTGGCCGTCATTAGAAAATATCTGCAGAGAGTAAAACAGAGCCAAAAAAAATCTCAATTAAACAAGATGTACTACTGAGTAACAGTATATTGAATCTACATTCAAAGCTTAAGAAAATCCATCAACATCTTCAGAAAACATTTTAATATTTTTTTTTTTACCTGAACACATTGGTTGTTGCTGTCTGCTATTAGGACTTTTCCCTGAGAGGAGGTAGCCACTCCCTGCAGATTTGTGAACTCCCCTTTATTTCTTCCTTTGGTGCCTTAAAGAAAAAAAATAGTAATATAGTAAATAATATTATCAGACTTGCAACAATATTCCATTCAGAATGGAATATTGTAAATGGGTTTGTTTCTGAACATCTTTATATCATCTATTTTTTCACTTAAAGGTGCAGTATGTAACTTTTATAAAAAAGTATTTTTTTTTTACATATTGGTTAAACCTGTCACTGTTTATATTTTATTTTTATTATGACAGGATGGCATGAGACAAGAAAAACAACAAAAAAAAACACCCAAGCTGCCTTCTCTAGAAACAACAAATCAGAGCCAGGAGGTGGGTCTTAGCACTGCCAATCACAGTCTTGTGTGCCACTCATCTTCCCTCTGTACAACCTCCTCTGCTCTATATGTATTGCAATAATAGAATCACCCATATATATGGGGGTGGGCAGGCATGTGTGTATGCATTTATAAATTTTCTGAAACTTCGTCTTCAAGAAATTATCCTAACATCTCTGTTCTATTAACCCATTAGCAACATTTTTAGCATTGCTCTGAGAAGTAACTCCTATAATGAGTTCCATTAGGAACTTCTCCATCTCCACTAGCTAGTCTGAATTAGGTGAGTGTGGGAGTCATGCAGGAGCGATGCTCAGTGAGGGAGAGGCTCTGCTTGGAGATTGTAGTTCTGAGCAGGAGCTTCATCCTCAAAGGCGACGTTAGGTCCAAGCAGTCTCCATGCACAGCTCAATGGTTGCCATGGAGATTAAAGTATTTCTCAAAAATGCGTGAAACAATCAAAGCAACACTTGAGGTATGTTTTTGATCAGGGAATAGCACTAACATGATGAAATGCTCAACAGTTTACTCTCACTAAGCAAAGTATAGAAAGAACTTGGATGAGTCAAGACTTTTGCACGGTACCACATTTTTAAAATTAAATTATTTTTGCTATGCATTGCTGTGCTGACTACATCCCATAGTCTTCTTGCATCGGTGGTGCAACACTTTGCACCTGGAGCTTAGGAAGAACACTCCCCTTTCCCCTCACACTCCTCCTCACCTGTTCGAAAGATGAGGTCATCCTCGATGGCATTCTCTTTCCTCCTCCCTGTGCTGTACATGCTCGCCGGTCTCTTCATTGCTTTCTGCTTGACATGCCCACTGCCTGGAGACTTCAGCCTCTTTTTGGTTTCGTCTGTATTTGGGGATGAGTGGATGGTGGCCTTTATTTTGAAGGGACTTCCTCTGATGTGCTGGTTGTACAGGCGCAGGGATAGGTTCAGAAAGCCTTCTTTAGGAGCAGTGAATATGTACTCGTACGTGCCATTCTTGTTGTCCAGTATCTCCCCGTCGACTTTGCTCCCGTCAGGGGAAGAGATGTCAGCAGCGATGACTGCGTTACCCATCTTGCACAGCTTTCCATCTTTGTCCTTAGTAGTTATGGTGACAGCCGTGGGCACGCCCACCACGCAATGCCGCAAGCCTTCACCTGTCACCACAGTTTCTGATGCGACAGCATTTGTAGTTACCACAGTACCCAGATTGTGGATAGATTTCTTTAATCCCTCTGTCTCCACAAGGAAGTCCAGCTGGCTGTTCTCCTCAGGCTGCAGTGGAAGCTCCTGATTGGCCAGTTCCACGAGGCGCTCTCCCATCTGCTTCTTGACCAGCAGCACCTCAGCCTCGGTGCCATGGTTCAGGGCCTGCTCCGTGAAGTTACAGCTGCTGTTGATGCCTTCTTGGCCCTGCAGCAGTGTGTCCAGCTGGGCCTGAAGAACCTACAAATGGAGACACCAGGGGGCAGGGGGCAGTTAAACAGGATTAAATGACACCTGAAATTTAAAAAATGAAAACAATCTGAAACCTAAATGGGAAACAAATGAAACTCAGACAAATCCAGATGATATCTTAATGCAGACATGATGACAGTTCATCATGTCTGCATTAATGCATTAAATTTTTCTGCAATAATCCAAGAGCACATATATTCAGTCTGAAAATGTCTTTCTTCTCAAAATGTGTAATCTCTTCCTCCTTGGGCTCACGCTTAGCCTCTGCTCAGAGATATAGAGAGTTGTATGATTATTGTTCTCATTATAATGGATGACAATAAATGAGTGAGATGGGAAAATTTTCTGTTTTAATTCAGTTGTACAATAATTCTACACACTAATAGTTGCCCATTGATAGTCCACACATAGAAATTGTCATAAGAAAGCCAAAATCTCACTTTTATTTTTTTATATTCAGGTTTGAGAATGCTATCGTTGTTCAAAAATAAAATTAATCCTTAAAACTACAACTTGTGTAATAATTCTGCACGCAGTGTATCTTTCCACTTGCCACTTCCACATTATGAGCTGTTTTTTTTTGCAACTAATAGATGCCCTTTCAGCAGTTTCTCCAGCTGAGCTGTGTATCTCTTTGCTCCTTCAGTGCTACCAAACGATGCTTGCATGGTCCTCTGATCTGTGCTCTCCTTAATATCTTGAAAAGGTTTATAACATAACTCTGCTTTGCACTTCTCAACTTCCTTCCTGAGGTGTCTGAGATCCTTGATATTCATGATGCTGTTTGTTCTCTAACAAATCTCTATGGATTTTCTGCAGCAGCTGGATTTCTAAAGGCAGTTGGTTGGACTGGATTTCACTTTGAAGTAGCATAGTAGAGGGGCTACTACAAATTTACACCTACTTTTCAGGTTACAAGTACTACTACTATGTTGTCATTCATAATATGAAAGAAAAGTACAATAAAATGTGGTTGAATGACATTTAAGTCTGTGATGTGACAAAATGTGAAAAGTTTATGGGGAAGGGATATTTTTACTGTGCATCTGCTTCCAATTACTTTCAGTTGTCTGGAACATAAATCCCCTTCAACAAACTGGAAAAAAAAGAAACAATATGTTGGTTTGCCTTTCATAAAAATGTTGATTTGAAACAATTTCCAGTTTTTCCAGTTTTATTGTGTCATTTATTCCTTCTGTTTCAGTTTTCTTTCTCACCCTGAGCTATTTACAAGAGCAGCACTGTGTATGTCAGTTAAAAAGGAAAGATGTGGTGTGTTGCCTCTTTGCTTATTTGACAAAGAAACATTACTGAATTATGCAGCAACATTGCATTTAATGCTGCTGGACACAACAAATCCCTGAAATAGTAACTAAATAAACGAGCAGTTAAATACTATCTATATTTCAACTAAGTGTGGTTGCTATAACGTTTAACTTTAAAACTATTACGAAAGAGAACTCACAAAGCTTGGTGAGCTGCTGGTGAACTGCCTCTTTGCTACTGGAATATCAGTAAACTCACCAAGATCTGATCATCAAAGTCATCTTCTTTTCCAAAGCAAGATGCCATGAATGTTTTTTGATCATCCAAAATCCTTCATCTGTCTATCAGAGAAAGTGAATATCTCTCCGTGCACAAAGCAGAGCAGGGATTGAGGTAAAGTGTCTCCAGTGTGAAGAGCATAACGCAGACGTATGGCATGCTCTCACTGCACATGACACACCCAGATTGAACCAGAAGAAAAAAACACTTAAAGACAAAACATGGCACAGCTCACTGGCTCCATCTAGCCACGGTGCCAGCATCACAGAAAGCCACGTTTTCCCCCAGGGATCATATGTGTTGACTTCACACTAGTCAGTCAATTGTAAATCATTGACTGATGAACACCAAGAGAGCAGGGCAGCTCGGCCTGATCTTCGAGCAGGTGATTAGATGTGAGTCCTAACAAACAGACTTCATTTTGTCTGGGCTTCCGGGGAGGAAAGCAGACAGTCACTTATTGAATTCTTTGATAAGTAAACATCCTAAAAGCACCCAATCACTAGATATCGTTTTAATAATTCATTATGTAACAGCACTGAAGTGCTGCTCAGCAAAAATCTGAACTAGGAGCACTGATAATGTCCCATAAAACAATAACATTAAACAAAACAAAGCTGTAAAATTGTGACAACCACAACAAAATCAAAACATTGGAAGTACGGTAAGTCCTTTTATCTGGTAATGAACCTGTTAAAATAAGTGTGTTTTTGATATGAAATAAAGTGGCATGTCTCAGAAGATAATTAATCTTATAGCAGGAAAAATAATTAAGAAAAAAACATTGATTTTATTGACATTTTATTAAAAATATCAATAAAAATTAATATATGACACACTAGATTCATGTGTCATCTGTTGTGTGTCAGAGATGATTTTATTGACATTTTATTAAAGATATTAATAAAAAGAGAAAAATCTTAATTGGCCTTACAGGAAACAGATTCTCTTTGCTTGTTTCCACTGATGTTTTTATGATTCAACATTGGGTCAACTGCAGCCAAGGAATGTCTCCTTTAAAACATTCATTTTGTTTAACCTTTATTTCATTTTATTAGGGGATAATCTTTTGCAAGATTATCCTCTAATAATAATATTTATAGTTTAATGATAACATATGCCTAGTCAGAAGAAGCATTAAGGTAAAATAAAAAAAGATAACTAACTAAAAAAACAAACAAACATGTAAACCTAAATCTAATAAGGGCAATCATAATTTTGAAATGAACTCTGTTTATTTCTAAAACTTATTCACATGATGTATTATTTTCTCAAAAGTAGAGAAGTTTTGTGTCTCCAAATCCATTTTAAAAAGCAAAGACAAAATCCTTTGGATGCACATGGTTTCTGACCCCTGCAATACTAAATATGGAACACTGAATATTATTAAACAAAATGAAAACGTCTAATTGCTGTTTTGTTAAGTTGAGTGCATGGAAGTTTAATTGTCCAGTGAATTCAAATAAGAAATGAAAGAGTTTGACATATGACTGATGCAAAGTCAAGGAACCTAGAAAACAGCAAGATTATCAGGTCCCTTATGAATGTCTAAACCTCCAACCTCACCTTCTGTTTGAGTGCATAGTTGACCTCCAGTTCCATGAGTAAAACGCTCTTGCGAACATTGAGTGTCTTCTGCAACTCATCAAAGGTTGTGTGAATGTCATCTTCTATGGAGCTTTTCTGATTGGTCAGCTGTTGCAGGATTTCTGACAGCAACAGCTGAGACGAGTCGATCTCTGGCAGCCTAGACCGAGATGGGGACATAATGAAACCATTTACCGAAAACAAAAAGGAATGTAAGGCTTTCTCTAAATCCATCGTGTCTTTGTTTAATAAGCTTAAACAAGTTTACCTCTTCTTCACAGCATTTAGCTGGTCCTGCAGTGAGGCCTTGTGCTGCTCCACCACATCTTTAAGAAGCACAGTTGGATGCTCTCTATGTTCGCCACTTGTGCACTCTTGACACATGGCTGTCTCACATGGAGGACAGTAAAACTCCATCACCTAGAACACAAATAAAAGGTTTAGATCGATTCACTCAGCCACCTTTAGCAACAGTGGTTACAGCTAGCAGTGCACCAATAGCAGTTTTCTGGGTGATTGTCAATTTTTAAAAAGCCTGACCTGCCGGTTCTGATTTTGGCCGATACCAATTATTTTTGTCTGAAATGTTGCTAAATATATCAACAAAGTTGCTGAGTTGGCAACAGTGGGGTAACGATTGTTAACTGCAGATGTGCAGACATGACCCGGTGGGACAATCTATCAGTTAAATCTCACTCACAGGAGAGCAGATTTAACTGGTCTTCCCATGAATTCAAAGGTCTGATTTTCAGAACCTTTGTTGAGGTGGATATGATCAGTGGATAAAATCCACAATTCACATGCAAGTATCGGCAGATCACCAATCTCCCAAAATGAAGAAAATTGGGGTGGATTTATCAGTATAGCACTAACTACAGCTCAATTTTTGAGTCCGTAAGTATTGATTTTTACTAAAACCCTTCCTGTATACTCGATCTGCTGAACTATTAACAACTACTAACTACTAGTTATTATACAGATACAGGGTTATGTCCTTGGAACACTTCTGCTCACCATTTATATGTAATGTCATCACTAGATAATTGCAATTTCCATCTTTACATTGATAAAGTCTGATAGCTATACAGGCTATATTCAGAATTAACCACAATTTTATCTTCTTCCAAAAAATACAAAACCAAAAAGAAAACAACAAACAAAAATAAAACCACCCCAGATGTTGAATAGTTTAATGGGATTAAAAATATGAGAAAGAGATTCTAATGGTGAAATGCAGCAGAAAATTGAGACACAACAGTGATTAAAGAGACTGGTTGCATTGGAAGCATGTCCTACACTTCCTGCATGGTTGGGGCAGGAGAGCAGTTGACCCGTTCCCACGGTGGTGATGTTGCTGAGGGTGGTGACCTCCTGGCTGCAGGTATCTGGCCTGTGCTGCAGCACGTCCATCAGGTTGGTGATGAAGAAGTTGTTCTGCAGTGCGGCCACCCCCCTCTCAGGCAGGATTGACGTTTGACGGCACACGGGGCACGACAGGGTGAGGCTGTGGGCCGGGATGTAATTCTGCAAGCACCTGGAGTTGGAGTTTATGGAAGACAAAAAACAAAATATTCTATAACAATAGACCACGCTGTGGCGTGGTCTATTGTTACAGAAGTCAACTGCATTTCAGTTGACTTTGTTAAAACTGTCACCAAATTGTGACAGCACAAAAAGAGACAGATAATTTGTAAAAAGGTCAATATCCTCCACCTCCTCTCAGTGCTACTATAACTATCTGAAGAAATACAGCGCTCTAGGTTAAAAACAACTAATCAAAGTCAGGGGTAGGGTTTTAGTGCTGTCAATCGTCCTAATGTACTCACTGCTACGTGTGCTAATAGTGGAGAAAAACTGTTTATCCTCTGCCGTCAGTGGTCATGCATGTTGCAATTCCAGATGGAAATTAAATAAATAAAAAAGCAGCAGAAAAGACTACCACATAATATGTTGTTTAAAAAAACTTGATATCCAGAAGCATTTAGAGCAAAGTGAACAGATATGCCCCATTAACAGTCTGTCTATTGCAGTGGTACCCAAAGTGGGTCCTTGTGGGCCGACATCCTGCATGCTTTAGTTCTCCTCAGCAGCACCAACCTCCTCAGCATGTCAATGATCTTCTTAGTCCTTCTAACGAGCCATCACTTTATCCAGGTGCGTTAAACCAGGCAGAGAACTAAAACATGCAGGATGCCGGCCCTTGAGGACCCACTTTGGACACCTCTGGTCTATTGTTACAGAAAGCTTATTAACAATGATGACCAACACACCAAACACAACAGCAACACATCCTCTCACACGAGAACGTACCCTTTCTATACTTAAAGCCATTCTTTCCTTCACCAAAGACAAAGAACAAAGAAAAAGTAGCTACACAGAATACTGGGTGCTGTCCGATATGCTGGTGAGCTCCTCAGGCTCTCCTCTCACCTCTCACAGAAGGTGTGCAGGCAGGGCAGTACTTTGGGATTCTGGTAGCGGTCCAGACATATGCTGCAGATCAGGAACTGCTTGTCGATTTGGCGGACAACAGGACTGGGAATGGTGGAGCTTTCCGTGGCCATCCTAAAACTCTGACATAGGAGTCCCTCTTCCTCTTATGCTGGACCCTGAAGAGTGACAAAACAAGCCAACCAAACCAAGAAAACTGTTTGATCAAAAACAGTAACAACATCAAAATGTTTGGATGAATAAAATTTTCTTTGTCCATTTCCTCTTTTAATTTTGTGAATATTTGCAGTGCTGGGAGACCATTGAAATACAGAAATAATATTTCTGAATAATCTCTGGAACTGATACAGTTAAATGACACGGCAGTGTTTTAAACAACGCACAGTGGTAATGAAAGATTTTCAATCACACCTGCATAATCTGAAATCAATATCAGTAGGAAGCTAGATTTACTAGATCCTACATTGTTATATTGACAAGCTAGCAGGATTTAAGAAGACAATTGGAATTTATTGATTGAGAGAAAAATGCAATAAGGTTAAAATCAAATTGATATCTACAGCAAAAAAAAAAAAAACACAAACATTATTTTTGAAGGAAGCAAAAAGCTCCTCTAAACATAAAGTCTGTATGACTTTTTAAACTTTAAGTACAATGACTCATCACATTGCTTAAAATACATTTCATCAAACTCCTTATTTAAAAGAAATCCAACTAAAACATCTTCTGACCACAAAATATTTCTTTCCTTTTTAATGTACTTTAAAACCATTGTGCTTCAAACAACCAAGCAACATAAGGCTGAAAATAAAAAAGACTTATTCCTTGTGACCTTATTGTGAGCCTCAATCCGCATGTTGGGAAATGTGCAGGAAGTGCTTTATGTTTGATAAGAAGGCCTTTTAGGTGATAAATATTTAAAAAGGAAGAAAAGCACTTGCATGAAATGGAAAAGAGCATTCTTCATAATGCATATACAAATTCTGCTTTGTTACGCTGCAGCTTTTTCTGCATCATTTTGTTATAAACTTGTAACCAAATCTGGCAGCAACAGACCCAGTTTTCTTTGTCTCCTCACATTCAACACAGGCTCAAAAACAGGCCATTTCTGCTGCTGGAAGGAAAGTCTTTTCTGAGTTCACACCCCCTCCCCAACCCACTTTCTTCAGGCTTGTATACATTTTTTCTGCTCTTAAAGCAGAAAAAATGCCTTAATCTTTACCAACCAAAGAGCAAGTAAGATTTCAGAGTAATGGAATGAATCCATGCTACTTCACAGATCAAATAGCTAGTATTTCAGCACAAACACCATCACAATAAAAGCTTAGTTACAACACAAGCAAATCTATAAAAGCAAATGAATGTCTGTATGTAAAACTGCGTCAGATGAAAGATTTGAATGAAGCTATTCAAAGCTCAGACAAGATCTTTAACTTACCAGCTCCACAGAGAGATGGACTGGGCATCAAACACAGCGGTGATTAGTAAAACTCCTAAATCCTGCAGACAGCCACAACACTAGCAGTGCACAAGGTCGCTCTGCTCTTATGTAAGCAGAGCTGCTTCAGCGGAGCGGAATAATTCCTGCTGGATGTAGTTCCCCTCATCTATCACACAGAATGGAACGGAGGGATTCATCTACACACTTCAGCAAAGAATGGGACAATAGCAAGGCTCTGGTATGATCAACAGGCATTGATCTCTGCAGGCCCAATCACTGCTTCCATATTAGCATAATAAAACATTGAATAACTATAAACATACCTTCAGTTCATCCTAATCGACATAGCACCACCCTCCTACCATCAATGATCTATTTATAAGAGGATAGGATGACAGAATGTGACATCATCACGGTTTCTTCAGGTGTTTATGAGAGCAAAGTTGAAAAGCGGAGCTGTTGCCAGACAGCATTTAAATTTTACATTATTTTTCCTCTCCTGTTTTCTTCTTCTCCCTCTCTTCCCTCTCTCTTCCATTCATCTCCTTCCTTTTCTTCTGCCTGCAGAAACTGCTGCCTCACAGCAGCGTGGTGCAGCGACAGCATGCAGTATGTGAGCGAGCATTGGCTGACTGCTTGTGATATAACAAATAGAAACAGGAGTAATGGAAAGGAAAAGGTTCCCCTCATGGCCAATAACAATGGACTTTCTGGTAACATGTGGGCGTATATCTGGCTGCTGAGTCACAGAGCAAACAGAAACAGAAAAAAGAACAGATGAAAGGCCAGAGAATAGAGAATGTACTAAAAGAAGAGATGGATCAGAAGGGTAAGGTGATGATGTTTAGTGACTTTATGAAATTATGGTGAAGGAGTTGAAAAGAAGACAGACTGTCAGGCCTCTGATGAAGGAAGAACAGTGTAGGTTTTGTTCTGGTGGAGGAATACAGATCTAGATTGTTCCCCTCAGACTTCATTGAATTTTTAGATGCTTTAAATGAACATCTATGTAAGGATCTTCAGTTGATTTGGGTTTTTCTGGGACTGTAATCTTGTTCTTTAGCATAAGAGCTAGAAACTACCATAAGTTTCTAGTATTTACACTTGAAACTTACGCTTGTTTCTAGCCCCTTCTTGTAAGTTAATTCCTGGGACATAAAGTTCATAAGGTCATGGACATTATGTCCATAAAGTCAACTGCCATGTTTTTTTTTGTTTGTTTCTTTTGCATCTGAGATCATTGTCAGGTGAAGAAATTTTGCTGGAAAATTTTACTGGAAAGTATGCAAGAAACTTCAGGAATAGATTTCAACCATATGTTGTATATCTCTGACTAATCAAGCTAAAATTTTGAAAACAGGAAATTCTTCATCAGAAATAGTTAGTATCCCCCACCTTCCACCCAATACACTCCATTATGTGTGACAGCTCCACAGCTGTGTTCAGTGATCTCATCTCTGCCTTCTCGAAACACACTGAGCTCACTCAGGGGAGTGACACACAACAAAAAAACTAAACTGGTCAAACAGCCTTGAAATGTGACATCAGTGTAGAAACAGCAACAAGCAATGGGATTAAAACAGTTGTCAACAGTAGTTACCTTAACACTCAGATACCATTATTCTGATCAAACTGGGGAAAATAAGACAAACTTGAAAAACTCCCAGTAAGTAAAGTATTTCCAGCAAAAACTGTTCTAGTGTTTTTTTTTTCTGTGAAACTAAAGACAATACTATAGTAGAAGTAGAACTGCAAAACTTGGTATGTTTTGGCTTTGCACATGGGTTTGTGGTGCATTTCTATCTTGAAGATTAAGATATAAAACTTCATATATCTTACAACCGAGATATTAACATACATAGAAAAACCTTATAGCAGAAAGTATAATGGTCACCATAAGAAAGGCTTACAGTACAGTACTCAATTATGCCACATGAACTGATCAGTCCCAAAGATCATGAATGTGGCAAGGAGAGGTTAATAAAAACTTAAATCTCTCTCCAAAAATGCTTTTCAGAATGCTATAAAAGCATGTAAGGACATTTCAGAGTTTGGAATTCTGCTTTTTTGTTTATTTCATTTATTTTTAATGTTTCAGCTTACAAAATGATGCCTGGTGCATCGCTTAACTCAACATGTGAACTATGGGATGAGTGTTGATCTCCATCATAAATAATTGTAATTTCTGTCATTAACATTTTTGTTTAAATGCAGCTCATTTATGGAATGAGCTGCATTTTCAACAGCTATTTTCAACAAACTATTATATTTTTATTTTTATAATAGTGTGATCTAAAACCAGGTCAAAGTGTAGGTTTAGACATCAGACATTTCACTAAGGTTCTCTTCAACTCTTTCAGAACATCTTTGCACTGTAATTTCATCATCCTATTACCTATTATCATGCTAATCTTTCCACTGAATTAAGGAGGTTTATGTGGCAGTTGTGATGCAGTCAACATTATCATGCTAATCTTAAGCATCCAGTAGTAATAGGATGATAAAATTACAGTAGCAGAGCATGTCACCATCCAACTCTGTGTCCCACCTATGTATCCGAACCAACAGACCATAGATTAAATGTTGTGTTCAAACTACAAAACCTCTGCTTTGCTGCTCAAGCATGGGGATTTCTATGTTTGTCCTCCATCTTTTAAGTTTTTTTTTTTAATTATATGTGCACATTTCAAAGAAAAAGGGTAAGAGAAGTGAGTAAAATGGAAAACTCTGCATCAGAGCGCCAGGCCAGCATATCTGCCAATCTTGCATTCTGCATGCTTGAGATAAGACCATGTTTTGTGTCTCTGTGTCAGGGGATATGTATCCAAACTGCAGAACTCAAACTGAAGTGTACAGTTGTGCAGCTGTAAGTAAAATGGAAAGCATCCATGCTGCACATCTGTCAGCCTGAATTCAAAGTAAAACATTGCAGTTCAATGTCAAAATTGAGTGAAACAGTTGCATCAAAAAACTGTTCTTGTTTTAGGGCTAAGTAACTTTTCCCAGTTTGCATGAAGTACTTGAACAGACTTGTTTAATGCACAGCTCCTGAATCATCATTATAAATATAAGTTCAGCACAAATTAAAACAATTCAAAGCACAATTTTGATTGTAAATATTTTATGTCGAATATGTTAATTGATTTAGAACTAGCTTGAGCAGGAAGAACCACAAACAGGCCAAGGAAATGAGAAGACATGAGAACATTTATGCATAAATGTGAGTTTCACTATGTGAGCTCCTGAGGCTGTTTAATCTCCAGCTGGAACTCACCATTCAAGTACAAACTCAGAGAAGACTTCCAGGGAAATAACCTTTAATTTTTGAAGCATCTTTAAATAATCTTTTCCTATTCAAGAAGCCAAAAAACATCAAACATTTTTCAACAAGGTATTCACCATTCTAATTTCCTATACTCCCTTCCTGCATTTATAAATCTTTTTCTCTTTCTTCCTCTTATATTTCCATTTATAACATGGCTATTAGGCACTTACTTTAACTCCATGGCAGTTTTCTTTCTTCCTGTCTTGTTTTCTCAGAAGGGAAACAGAATGCTGCTCTTTGTCACCTAATCCTGCTCATGGTTGATATCTTGTGGTGTGCACAGTGGGACAGAGAGGGAGCACATGTGAAGCCTGAGCAGGTCCAATAATCCAAACAGACTGACAGCCACTGGCAGAGCAGACAGAGGATGGGAGGGTCTTGTTTGATGGTTTAAGGAGAAAGCAGTGGCCAATCAGAGGAGAGAAAGAGGTAAAGTAGGAGGGGATTAAATCTTATAAACTGAGAGCCCAAAGTCTGAAAGGCACAAAGGTGTATTTGAGCCATTTTAGATAGAAAAATGAAGCAAATTTCCACCAAAACCCCTCCCAAAACATTTGAGATGTCAGAAATTTTAGAAAAAGAAAAGACAATTTTCTAAAAATTTTGTTTTTCTATCAAATTTGCAACTTTTTCAATTCAGAAATGCCCGTATTTTTTCTAGAACATTCCTGATATTTTTTTTAGTCAGAAATTTGTTCCTTTTTTTTCTATCTACAATGGCCTCTTAATACATTGTCACAGGCCCCGTCATATAGGTATGCAACCACCTGGGTTCCCAGGCATATATATGTTATAACAAATTTAATGTATGCAACTTAATATCTTAAAAGACCTCAAAGTCTTTCGGTAGGAGTGTGAAATGAGCAAGACTTCATTAAAAGGAAAATAAACAGCTTAAGTAAAAAGTCGATTAAAATATTGTGTTGTGTCACTTTAAGAACAACAATTATTGGGTGGTTTGTATGTAAAGTACAGCTCAACACGAGATGCGAAAGACTAGAATGCTGTGTACATGTTTTTTGTTGTTGTTTTGCCTAAGGTCAGCTGATATTGGGTGATTACACTTTTCCTGAATTCTGATTGAGAAGGAGGGGGGCGGGACTAACTGGAGTACCGAGAGAGAAGAGGAGAGACGACGAGGAGACTCGGTGGAGTTTGCTGGGACTTTGGTCGGCCGTTTTGGGAAAAACCGGTTAAAAAGTGCAACAACTTAGCTGTGCATTTGCACCAAGGGACAATGGAAAGACCGAGGAAGAAGCGAGCGGTGAGCTGGATGCTGGAGGTCTGAACAGGAGCCTGTGGAGGGAGACCAGCTCCGCCTGCATTGGGCCCGCTGTTTTTGGACTTGTCTGTGGTTTCCTTCGCCTTTACAGAGAAAGGCGCAGATTAACTGACTGTTATCTGGTGAGACGAGTCGTCAGGACCTCATATAAACGCGTCACTGTGGATTGAGGACCAGTGATGAATGTCGTCATTATCAGGCCTTCAGTAACTATATTGCCGGCTTTTATTTATTTTATTTTTTGGTGGGCCCACTAATTACAAACTATCAATTATTTTCTGTTAATTGTGTTAAGACTAAAGGACTCTTATGTGGACTGTTCACAATAACTTAATTGAGAACTCCATAAACATTTTTCTGGTTATTTGAAGGTTAAAGAACCAATAAAAGGATAATACCTAGTTTTTTTTTTTTTTGTGAGGTCTGCTGGTGACCATTGTTAGTGCGATGGTATACTTTCACATGTGCTCTACTTTAATTTTCATTCTGAAGTTTGGTAAATAAATACTTTGCCTTTATAAAGTATCATTCTTTATGGGTCAGACAAAAGCATTTCAACTAAGTTTAAATCAGTACCTGGTGGTTCATGGGAAATGTAGTGAAACCAGTTTCTTGGGGTGTAACATTAAATAACTAGAAGTCAGAGCGCTAAATCTAGCCTTAGATACCAGAGGGCGCTACAGGAAGATTGGGCCTGAACCCCCTGCAATACAAATATACATCCATGCAGCTTTGTGTATCAGAAAGGTGACTGCATTTGTCTGTTTCTGTTAAGTTACACTCCTCATATAATCCACATGTTAGGGTTAATGTTAAGCCTTAACTTTCTGTAAGCTAGCTGAAACAACCGGAGATGTCATGTCCTGCAGATTCTGGTGTCAGTAATTTTCCAGTTTGTTTAGAAAAGGGTCAAACAGTTTAGTATTTCAGATCTATGAAAGAAATATTTCAAGCCTTTATTTGTTGAGGTTTTGAAGATTCTGGCTTACAGATAACAAAAAT